GGGGGGGGAGGGAAGGAGGGGGCGAGATAGAGGAAAAAAGCGAGCCCAGGAATCTTACGTAATCTAATATAATACAAGATTTTTCTCTAAGCGCAAAATCTGATATTACATTAGATTACTTAAGACTCCTTGGTATTCTTGTTTTTCTTCCAAGCTGTAACTTGGCTCGTGGTACACCGCTATTTCCTGTTGCCATTTATCTTGCAAATTATTTTTAGCAACTGCACTCGATGGGCTTATCGTGTACGAATAGCGTTAAGATCAATTATAATTATTCAAGTAATTAGATTGATATATAATGGCAAAATTTTACATTTATGAGATTTTTGTACGTATTTTTAACATATATGCATTCGTGCGTGCGAGTTATGCATTTCGTACTTATATAATTCTCTATTATTCAAGAAAAAACAATTCTTTTCAATTATTTAACAAACGTCAGTTAAAAAAACAAATGCCTTCGTAATATTAAGTTAATAACATAAACTCGAGTAATTTTCGATTAATTCTAAATAATGTGCCAAGTTTAATTCGGCAGTTGAATATTTTTAGGTGCAAAGCATGATACATGCATCGTATAGAAAATAAAAAAAATTAAATTATATTTATAAATACGCAAATTCAATTTTGAAGCTATATATATTTAGTTATATTTCTCGAATCAATAATTAAAGTAGCCAATAATTGTTGACGCAATTAATCTTATTGCTAGGCGTTTGTATGCGCTTGTAACCATAGAGGCTATAAGAGGCTATTTTTTTTACTGCTTTTCGTTGCTGTTTTCTTACTTTCTAACTAGAGAGTTTTCCCATAGATATTTTTTATTTACGCACATCTTTAAGCTTATAAATACGGCGTAAAGGCATGGCGCGTTTTCGAACATGGCGAATCAATCGCGGCCGAAATAACACGACATACATTTAGCAGGGAAAAAAAATCAACGTGACTCAGAATTCAGACCGAGGCGTTTAGCTCGGAACGAAATTTATTCGATTTCTAAAATCTGACAATTTGGATAGGATTTCCGCATCGCGCGTGACCGGGGAAGTGGGAGGGCCACGATTACCGTAAAGCTAAATGGCCGAATAAATATGATTCTAAAAATGTTTCGTTGTATATTCGAGCTTGCAGTGTGTCGCCGCTAATATTTTTGCGTGCACGAGGGAGGACGTGTGTTATCGATTTCGTTGCAGTTACGATTGCGACGACGAAAGTTACGTAGCGTACGTCGTTTAATAAATAATGGAATGGAAAAAATATTGCGTATAGCAAGAGTTATGAGTTTTATTATATCGCTGCGCTCGAACGCAATAAACGTGTCGCGTCGCTGTCGAATGGGATAGATAAAAATAAGAGACAAAGGAACGAGGGACGAGTATAATATAGAGCAAAGAGAGCGATTCTATATCGCAATTATGTGATAACAGGACCATAGCCGAAGCGAAGGGGGTTCGAGACGGGCGAGAAAAATCGCGGGGGATTGGCGACTTTTTATATTTCAATTTTTATTACCGTTCAAGCGGAAGGTAAACCGGAACCGATTCACGATGAGGGCGATATCGCTTCCTGTGCGAGCGGCGAGTGTCGCGCGAAGAAAAAAATCGAATTAGTCGAAGGCGCATGTTGTGCACGCTATCAACAATATATATGAGGAAGAAGGCAAGGCTAGGCAAGGTAAGGGTGAAGGGATATGTGGAACGAAGAGGAAACGTTTCAACACCGACCATGATGCTTCGACGTCCGTAATCCCAGGCCATTGATTCGTTTGGTTAGTTCGGCACTGGCACGCTCGACGACGCCCTGCGCCGATATCGAAGACATGATATCTTGATGAGGCACTCTTACTCTTTCTCTCTTGTCTCCTTCCGCACTTGTTGTCGGGTTCAGTTGCGTCTAATTGCGTCCGCGCTTCGTAGTCAAGAGTAATACGATACGATCTGCGGACGACGGGATCGCCTCATATTCGATCC